GCAGGTCCTGTCAGCCATCCGGACCGCACTCACGCAGGTCCTGTCAGTCATCCGGACCTCACTCACCGAGGACCTGTCAGTCATCCGGACCTCACTCACCCAGGACCTGTCAGTCATCCGGACCTCACTCACGCAGGTCCTGTCAGTCATCCGGACCTCACTCACCCAGGACGGACGCACCTGGCTGAACTGCCCTCCGCCTGGCTCAGGGCTGGGGCCTCCTGGCCCTGCCTTCACTTCCCCTCTGTGGCAGAAGCACGTCGCAGGGTGCTCTTGGGGCACCTACTGGCCTCAGGACCTCAGTTCCCACACCGACTCATGGGGCTCATGATTTTGTTTCCAACACAGCCATCTCCCAGGTCCCACTCAGCTCCACCCGTGAAGAAGACGGGCCTGCAGGCGGCGCTCCTGGAGACGCTCGTGGACCTGGTGGACAGGAGCTGGGGCGGCTGCAGGTCTCTGCATAGCAACGAGGCATTCCTTGGTGAGTCAGGGTAGCTGCGGGCTCTTGCCCTCCAGGCGACATCTGTGTGGGATCCTGGGTCCTCTGCATGTGGTGACCTGGGAGCCATCCTAGCCCTTCCCACGTGCGTGTGGTGGTCCTGCACCGGGGCCTTCCTGGCAGTCTGCCTCTCACAGTCACCATGGCTCTTGGCACCACGTGGGCCTGGGCCTGTGGGTTTCCCACATGCTCTGGGTGTTGGGGGGCCTGTCACCTTGTTTTGCTCAAAATGCCGTCCAAATGCATTTGGTTCTGATGGTGATGGTCATGTGGGGTTTGGAGTTTGGAAGCTGCTGCGTCTCTCCCTGACCCATGCATGTAGCCTGTGCTGGGCCTGCCTTGCTGAGCTTCTGCCTGGCGTGGGGCCCAGGAGGGCGGTCCCTCCGCAGACAGGACTCAGGTCTGTTTGATTCTTCCGGGTGACCTGTGTGGGAGCATGCGGGGGTCTCCCTCATCTGGGGTCACACTTGGATACCAGGAGGTGCCGTGTCCCCGGTGGCACCTTCTTTTTGTCCTGCAGCCTGGGACGTGGCTGTGTGTGTCCCTCAGGAGCCGGGCCTCACGAGCCTGTTCCTCCTGGCAGGCCCTGGGTGTGGCTCTGAGCTGTCTGAGCGCCTCTCAAAGTGTTGTGGCCCCTCAGGTCCTAGAAAGAGGATGCCCTGCAGTTGCAGCCCATCTGGACCCCAGCCCTGTAGACCCCTCCCCTCTCCCTCCGCTGGTGTCCGTGCAGCCCATCCAGACCCCAGCCCCCAGACCTCACCACTCCCTGGGCTGGTGTCCTGCGGGAGCCTCCTGAGCTTGCTGTGGTGGGTGGCAGTGGCACTGTCCCCGGCTCAGGCCGCTGTCCCAGTGTGGAGTTGCCGGCTGTTGTCTGTGTGGTGGTTTCCACACCAGGGCAGTCGGTGCTTGTGGAAACCATAGTGAGTTGCGCCTGTGCCATTGAAACCTTGAGACGTGGCGGACCGTTGCAGCCTTTTTTTGGGGGTCACCTGTTCTCTTTCTTCAGTTCCTACCCTGCCTGTGTGGACGCGCAGAGCCTGAGGGGTTTGATGGTGCCCCCTCCCTGCCTGCTGTCTTTTTAAGGCTTCCTCTGTGTGATTCAAGACACACTGAGCCGGTTTTGTTTATGTTCCCCCTTTAAGCCTCAGTGCTAACGTAACATTTGATTTTCGCTCCTAGCTCAGGCAAGACACATTTTGTCTTCTGTTGAAGAACTCACCATAGCCCAGGATGGCTCCACGATGGTGGGTGAAGACGCCGGCTCCCCGGCTCTGGAGAGCAAATCCCTGCAAAGCCGCCTTGCAGAGCAGCGGCAGCAGCACGCCCGGGAGATGAGCGAGGTGACGGCGGAGCTGCACCGCGCACGCAAGGAGCTGGTGAGCCCGCCCTGGCAGGGCTTCTGCGTCCACGTGTGGGGGAGATGGGCTTTGACTTCCAGAAGTAGGGCTGCTCCTTGATGCCACACTGCCCCAGCCACCATCTCTGCAGCGCCTTGTCCCCCTCCCTGCCCGGGACCTGGCCGCCCCCAGGATCACCGCCCGCCCTGTTTCACAGCAGGCCAGAGCACTTTGGAGACAGCAGCAGTGCTGGCCACCTTCCTTCCTTGGAGGGGCTGGGCTGGGGAGGTGGGCAGGGGTGACGCCAGCGGGAGACGGTCTTTCAGCCCCTGTCCTCTGGCCCAGGCTCCCCAGTCCCCTGCTGAGAGGCTCCAGTGCCCCAGGCCATCGAAGGCTCCCTGTTGCTACCCCACCTATGCCAGCTGAGCAGCCCCCTCCCCCGGTCCCGAGGGAGCCTCCGACACTGGGCGGTGCCGGGCGCTGTGGGAGCCAGGCCTGGACCTGACTTTATCTTACTGGCCCGCCTCACAGGGCCTCGAATTGGAGACACCTGAGCCTACTCTCCTTTTACGAAGGAGGTGACGGCCACTGTCCCACAGGGAGGTGGGGCTACAGGGCAAGTTACCCCAAAACCAGCAGCTGAAAACCCGCCTCCATCAGCTTGGATTAATGTGGATCGGGCCTCAGGCTCAGTTCAGTCAGGTGTGCCCGTCTCCGCCTCCACTGAGGCCTCATGGGCAGGACCCTCCCAGGCCCCCTCCAGGCTGCACGGGCCTCCCCAGGGGCTGCTGGAGTCCTCAGGACATGGAGGTGGTGGTCAGAGAGCCATGTCCAGACAGAAGCCGCCCTCCGGGAGTCCTGGTGAAGGCAGGGCCCCGAGAGGGTGTGCACACCCAGGGGGCCGCGTCAGCATCTGTAAAATGGGAGTGAAGGCACTGTGGGACGGCTGAGAAAAAAGCCACCTCTGAACTTGCCTGGCAGGTAGATGCTGTCTATTTTATGAGAACCTACATCTCAGAGAGCCCACACAACACTTCCTCTTTAGAGAAGAAAAAGGACAGATGGCGAAACAGCACAGGCAGCGTCTGCATTTAAACACATGTGGCCCCTGCCCCATCCCGTCCGGAAGCCTCTGTTTAAACACATGTGCCCCACCCCATCTAACAGTCTCCCTTTAAACATATGTGGCCTTCATCTGGAAGCCTTTGCATTTAAACACGTGGCTCCCTGTTCAGAACCCTGCACTGAAACACACATGACCCCCATCCCCCGTTTGGAAGCCTCTGCATTTAAACACACGTGGCCCTGTCTGGAAAGTGAGCTGGACGCCATCACTGCTGATGTCTTTTCTGTGGGACGCAGCCGGGCACACCCCCTGCCCTTCTGAGCCTGGGACCACACAGCTGACAGACGGAGCCCGAGAGGAGCCGAGCACCAGGGCCGCCTGGGGTGGGAGTCACGTACAGCTGTGGCCACCATGGCAGCCTTCTTTTTCACCCTGTGCTGTTTGCCCAACCCTGTCCCTCGGGGCAACCCTGGGCCACGGGACAGAGCAGCCCCGGTTCCCTGGTGAATGATCCGGAAGAGTCACCATGGGCAGGAACCCCGCAGAGAGAGCAGCCGGCAGGCTGGTGGGCGCTGCCTTCCAGGGAGGTGCATCTGTCATTCCAGAAACACCCAAGTTTACTCTGCAACACGGTATGCTCACCCCTCGGTCACGTGAACCGTGCTTCCTGTGGAAGCTGCAGTCGTGTGTCCTGGGGTGCAGTTGGCCCCACTCCCAGCCGCTGTGCCAGGCACGGCCTCTGAGGCAGATGTGCTGTGTCCAGCCTGGGTGCAGCTGGTCCTCTGTTCCCCGTACCTGCCGTGGCCTCAGCTTCAAAATTAACAATCAGTCACGTGCCTGTCATCCCAGCTATTTTGGTAGGTGGAGGCAGAGGCTTAGGAGCTGGGGGCTGCAGTGAGCTGTGATTGTGCCACAGCTCTCCAGGCTGGACGACAGAGTGAGAACTTAAGTTCAACAAAAGAGAGCTGGGAGCCCACAGCCCCACCTTGCAGAGCTCATCGCGTCCTTGGGAGGCCACACCATGAGACGGGCGCTGCCAGGAGCTTTCAGAATGGCCCAGAGCGCCGCGAGGAGGGTGGGTGGTGCAGGTTGGCACCACCGCAGCAGACGCCTTGGGGACGAGGCTGCAAGATGAAGAATTGTGAAGATAAACCTGAGGGGAAGAGTCTTGGACCCAGCGATGAGCCCTCACCACGGGTGTTGGAGTCTCAGACCCAGCGATGAGCCCTCACCGCGGGTGTTGGAGTCTCGGACCCAGTGATGAGCCCTCACCGCGGGTGCTGGAGTCTCGGACCCAGTGATGAGCCCTCACCGCGGGTGTTGGAGTCTGGGACCCAGCGATGAGCCCTCACCACGGGTGTTGGAGTCTCGGACCCAGCAATGAGCCCTCACCACGGGTGTTGGGAGCCTGGTGGATGTCTGCATGCCAAGGGGGCCATTGGCGGGTGGGCTCTGCGAGCAGAGATACCCCGAGCACGAGGGCTGTACTGCACATTCGCCAGTGCTCCCTCCCTTGGGGGCAGCAAGGTGGGGCCCGCTCAGCACCCCCGGCCCCGGGATATGCCTGCTGGTGCCTGAGAAAGCAGCAGGCAGGTGAGACTGGATCCCTGGGGTCCCTGGCTGCAGCTGCTGGCGGCTTGGATGGCTCATGCCTCAATAAGCACCTGGGGCCGGGGAGGGACAGCTGCCATGTGGCTGCGGCATGGCCCTGTCCTCTCCTTGATGACAGCTTGTCCTGTGCTCGATGTGTTCTCCGTACTTCGAGGATATGAGAGCCAGAGCAGAAGGGAGTTCCTGCAGGCCCCCCATGCCTCATATTGGCACCAAGGCCGGGGACCTGCAGTGTCCGTGAGGGCGTCTTGGGAGGCCCCAGCCACCACCAGCTGCCCTCTCCGGCATCTGGCCTGCAGGTCCCGCGGGAGCACATGCCTCTTGGGAGACGCAAGAGTGGGGATCTCTCGGGGCCAGACGCCCCTTTCTGTACCCTCCTGTCTTTCTGCCCCTACCCTGAGGGTGCAGGAGGTATGGGGAGACTCAGAAGTGGGGCTCTCACAGGATGGGGTGCCCCTTTCCGTCCCCCCTCTCTTCCCACCCCTTCCCAAGGGTGCTGTGGGGCTGGGCAGGGCTCGGGGCTCAGAGGAGGGAGCTTTGCCAGAAACGGACTCGTTGCCTTCACATTGTGACTACGTGAAAGGAACCCTCTGGGATTTTCAAAAGGTTTCAGTTCTGTTTTCTTTATGCATTTTACTGAATTTGACTTGTGCATTTTCTGTATTTTCTGTGTCCCCAGAATGATTTGAGACAACATTTAGATACATCTTTAGAAGAGAATAGTGGCTTAAAATCGCTTTTGTTCAGTATGAAAAAGGAGGTGAAAAATGCAGACGCTGCAGCTACATTAAATTTGCAGATCACTGGTAAGTTTGTTTGGTAGGACAGCGTAAAATGTCAGTGTTTGGGTGTGCCTGGTAGACCTGTTTAAATTCTCACTGAGGGAGGGAGCAGCCGCAGACGCAGTTGGTAAGTGCAGCGCCGAGCCCCTGCCTCACGGCTGGCGTGGAGGCTGCCTCCGCCGGAGTTTGTGCCACAGACACGTGTCGGGGAGGTCTTGGCGTGGATGTGGCGTGGTAACCTGTGTGGACGGTGAAGGTGGCTTCATTATATGCTGTGGGAATGTCACTCCGGCTCCTGTCAGCCTGTGTGGACAGTGAAGGTGACTGTTAGATGCTGTGGGAGCGTCACTGTGGCTCATGTGGGC